ATTAAGATTTTAAAAGAGTTAAATGCAGTTATAAAGTTTGTAGAGTGGGGCCGCTGCAAGAAGCTTATACGGAAGGAGATCAATCGTTACAATGCTAGCATCATGTGTTTACAGGTAAATTTCAAACCATCAAGCGTGTAGATAATATGATATGTGTAGAGTAGAGTGTGAAATTGACTTACTTTTTACTTAACCCCAATTGCAAACGGTCTAGAATGGTATTTCGTTTTTATTATTCCAATAAAGGGAAGTAGATCTTGATTGATTAGAGATGAATGGTAGTGTTGAGGAAGAGAGGAATCTCGAAAATTATGTGGATCAATGTTGGAAGAGATTGTCGCATATGGTGTAGGATTTAAGCCTCCATCAATGCATAAATTGAGGACTTGGATCCTTAAGGAAGAAGTTGGATGCATCACGTAGTAAAATATTGTTAGACGGTGACATTGAAGCTACACTCGCCTACATGAAAGCGAAATCATCAGTGGATCTTAAATTTTTTTTGTAAGTTCAGTGTAGATGAGGAGAATAGGCTTGCTAACTTATTTTGGAGAGACTCTACTTCACTTTTGGATTATGTTGCCTCTGGAGACATCCTCATATTCGACAGCACGTACAAAATCAATATATATGACAAACCTCTAGTGTTATTTGTTAGTTCAAACAATCATCGGGCGAGTGTTGGTTGTGCTCTATTGCTTGGCGAGACTTTTGAAATATAAATGTAGTTATTGGAGACATTCATATCCTCCATGAAAGGCAAGAAGCCTATATCAATAATGATGGATGGGGATGAGGCGATGTGCACAAAGCAATTGAGTATGTGTTGCTCATGTGCAATTAGAGGTTGTGCTCATGGTACGTGGCAAGGAATACACAGAATAACTTAAAGGATGAAGAATTGGTAAGATCATTTCAAGCATATCTTTTTGGAACCAATTGCAATCAATGAGTTTGAAAAGAAATGGGAGTTTTTGAATGACATAGTTACTACACATAAACAAAAGGAATGGTTGCAAATGATGTATGCAAAACGAGATGTGTGGGCGAAATCACGCCTTAGACCCAAGTTTTTCGGTGATATGTGCACTACTCAATGCACGGAGTGTATGAACAAGTTTGTGAAAGATTACTTGAGGAAATGGTTAAGTTGTTTGAAGCATTCCAGCAATTGATATGGCCATAACACGATTGACGAATACCTCGGGGAAGGATGATTTTGACCAAAACAGTCAAATAAAGTGCTTACAACAACACTGAAAAGTCTTGAGCAATATGCTTCCCAAATTTACACTCATAGGTGCTTTTTATTTGTATGTACGAGATCAATGCTTCGTCAACACTTATTCATGAAAAAATAATTCATAATTTCGGAGGATGGTTGCTGATTGTAGGAAGTGCCTAAGGGCATTGATTGTAGGGGTGCTGAGGGGTACTGAAGAAACGGAGAACAACATAACCTTTTGTGTTGATTCCCACATACGGATGACCAATAGTGGGCTCAAACTTAAAGATGTGATGTTTTGGATAATGGTTGAAGGTGAGGACCTTCAGTAGGTGTGAGCATTCGGTAGGCAATAGACATGCATGCATAAAACAGATGTATGTGGTTCATCCCAATGAATGAGCTATGTCCACAGAGAAGGATATTCTTATGATGATAATGTGTGTTTATATTATACAAGGGGATAGACCCAAAAAGAAGAGGAATAAGGGCGGCCGAAGGTCAAGAATGAGGCCGAAGACCATGGATCCAAGGAACAACAAATGGGCTCATGGGTTGGCCCATGAGGCCCGAGGAGCAATATGGAGCCCCAAGAGAGATCAGGGTCCAAAAGTCCCTATCCTTTCCCTGGTGGTAAGAGGTCTCCTATTATAAGTGAGGGGGAGTCCTCTCCTCTTGTGTTTTATCGATGTGGGACACCATTCCCTTTGCTTGGAATGACTTGGAATTGCTTGGCCAGCTAGGGTACAAACATCGCAAAAACTTTCATTTTCAATGTTAGTGGATGATAGTTTTAAATGACATATAAATTGTGATTTTAAATTGGAATTGAATATCAAAGTTTATTCTCAATTTGTTATATCATGATTAAAGCAAAAACAAACTTCATTCATGTACTTGAAATTATTGTTCAATACATTCACCAAACGAAAGCAATAATTGTAGAATCTCTTAAGTGGAGTACCAAAGGGGTCGTTTGGTATCCTATTCAAATAGGGAACTCAAAAACTTTGATTTTTCTTAAAACCAAGGAGTTCTTAAATCTATTTTTAAGATTCAAAAACTTGTTTGGTATCCAACTTAAAAACTGTTTTCAAATCTTAAAAATGTGAGAACTTGTGGGTTGTTAGAAAAAAACTGAAAAAACAGATATTTTTTATTTTTAATAATTGGGGTGTTTTTTAGTTCTTGAGTTTGAGTTTTTGAAAATAGGGCTACCAAACAGGTTTTCTTTGTTTTGGACTCAAATTCTATTTTTGAGTTTAAAAAGTTGGATTCAAGTTGAATACCAAACAAGCCCTAAACTACTAGAGTCAAAATTGCATAGTGGTGGATAAGGTATCATATGAATATATTTTGGCCCGAACTTGGGCCCGGGCTCAAGCACGGCACGAGCACGACCTATTTCATTGTGGGCTTGGTTATAACTTTTTTACACGAACTTGATCATCTCTAATGAAGAAGCAAGCAATATCTAGAAAGATTTTCTTTAGTGTGTGCTTTAATGCGTTAAAACTTATTTCAAGCACCTTCATAATGTCTTTTTCAGGATCTTCATCAAGTCTATGAAATGATTCTCACCATTCTGTTACGTTATTATCCCTCAAATATGAACCCATGACTACAGGAGCTAAAGGAACGTCACCATCATATTCTCAATGTTGTTATATCAGAGTTTATTCTCAATGTTGTTATATCATGATTAAAGCAAAATCAAACTTCATTCATGTACTTGAAAGTATTGTTCAATACATTCACCAAACAAAAGCAATAATTACATAATCTCTCAAGTGAAATACCTAAACTAATAGAGTTCAAAATTGCTTAATAGTGAATAAGGTATCATATGGATATTTTAGGCCGATCTTGGGCCCGGGCACAAACAGGCATGAGCTCGATCCATTTCATTGTGCTACGTAATCATCTAAACAAGCAGGGTATATTTTATTAAAACTGTTAAATATAAGTCTACCTTGTAATTTCAATTGAAGAAGAAGAGTACTAGAAATACCTATTTTTCAAATCCCATCCGACAACATTGGCTACTTTCCTTAGAGCTCTGCTCCACTTTTTCATCTTCCCTTTTTCCTTCTTAAAATTTTCTTCATGCTTAGCAAAGGCCTTTCCATAATTTCTTGTTTGCTTTCTTACCTCGGATGCCTCGCTGTGGTAGAACACCAAAAACACTTCTAGCCTTGCCTCTTTCATGCACTGAACAAAATGGACAAGTTCATCCAAACACGAAGTTGAAGAAGCGTAGTCTTCGAAAAGAACGACGACTGCAAACTTGGAATGTTCAATTCCTTTCAGGAGTTTTGGTGTGATGGGTTTTCCCCTCTCAAGCTTCTCTTCATCACTAAATGTATTGATTCCTTTCAGCTTCAAACCGTGATAAAATTGGTCTGTAAAACTATTACGGGTGTCTTCGCCCCCAAAACTAACGGGTGTCTTCGCCCCCAAAACTAAGGAAGACATCAAAGTCCAATGTTTCAGGGTTTGAAGATGAAGAAGATGAAGACATTGCTAGGGGAGCTTCCTCATGCTTCAATTCAAGGGTTGAAGAAGAAGGAAACTCAGCACATCCTAGGAGAAAATTAACAAGGTGAAGAAGAAAACAAGGAAGGAGGAGGAGGAGGATTATGAACATGAATCTGTGGGCTTGATTATATCTTTTTTACACGAACTTAATACTCTCTATTGAAGAAGCAAACAATATCCAGAAAGATTTTCTTCATTGTGCGCTTTAATGTGCTAAAACTTGTTTCAAGAACATTCATAATGTCTTTTTCAGGTTCTTCATCAAGTCTATAAAATGCTTCTCACCATTCTGTTACGTTTTTCTCCCTCAAATATGAACCCATGACTACAAGAGCTAAATAAACGTCACCATAATATTCTCAATGTTGTTATATCATGACTAAAGTAAAAACAAACTTCATTCATGTACTTGAAAGTATTGTTCAATACATTCACCAAACAAAATCAATAATTACAAAATCTCTCAAGTGAAGTACCTAAACTAATAGAATTCAAAATTGCAAAGCAGTGAATAAGGTATCATATGGATATTTTGGCCCGATCTTGGGCCCGGGCCCAAGCAGGCACGAGCACGATCCATTTCATTGTGCTGCGTAATCATCTAATCAAGCAGGGCATATTTTATTAAAACAGTTAAATATAAGACTACCTTGTAATTTCAATTGAAGAAGAAGAGTATTAGAAATACCTTTTTTTTCAAATCCCCTCCGGCAACACTTCTAGTCTAGCCTCTTTCATGCACTGAACAAAATGGGCAAGTTCATCGAAACACCAAGTTGAAGAAGCGTAGTCTTCGGAAAGAACGGCAACTGCAAACTGGGAGTGTTCAATTCCTTTCAGGAGTTTTGGTGTGACGAGTTTACCCCTCTCAAGCTTCTCTTCATCCCTAAATGTATTGATTCCTTTCAGCTTCAAACCATGTAATAAATGGTCCATAAAACTATTGCAGGTGTCTTTGCCCCTAAAACTGAGGAAGACATCAAAGTCCAATGTTTCAGGGGTTGAAGATGAAGAAGATAAAGGCATTGCTACGGGAGCTTCCTTATGCTTCAATTCAGGGGTTGAAGAATAATGAAACTTAGCACGTCCTAGGAGAAAATTAAAAAGTTGAAGAAGAAAACAAGGAAAGAGGAGGAGGAGGATTTTGAACATGAATCTGTGGGCTTGGTTATATCTTTTTTACACGAACTTGATCATCTCTAATGAAAAAGCAAGCAATATCCAGAAAGATTTTCTTCATTGTGTGTTTTAATGCGTTAAAACTTATTTCAAGCACCTTCATAATGTCTTTTTCAGGATCTTCATCAAGTCTATGAAATGATTCTCACCATTCTGTTACGTTTTTCTCCCTCAAATATGAACCCATAACTTCAAGCGCTAAAGGAACGTCACCATCATATTCTTAATGTTGTTATATTAGAGTTTATTCTCAATGTTGTTATATCATGATTAAAGCAAAAACAAACTTCATTCATATACTTGAAAGTATTGTTCAATACATTCACAAAAAAAAAAACCAATAATTATAGAATCTCTCAAGTGCAGTACCTAAATTAATTGAGTTCAAAATTGGATAGTAGTGAATAAGGTATCATATGGACATTTTGGCCCGATCTTGGGCCCGGGCCCAAGCAGGCACGTGCACGGTCCAATTCATTATGCTGTGTAATCATCTAATCAAGCAGGGCATATGTTATTAAAACAGTTAAATATAAGACTACCTTGTAATTTCAATTGAAGAAGAAGAGTACTAGAATCTCTCTTTTTCAAATCTCATCCGGCAACATTGGCTACTTTCCTCATAGCTCTCCTCCACTTTTTCACCTTCCATTTTTCCTTCTTAAAATTTTCTTCATGCTTAGCAAAGGCCTTTCCATAATTTCCTATTTGCTTTCTTACCTAGGATGGCTCGATGTGGTATAATAACGGAAACACTTCTAGTCTCACCTATTTCATGCATTGAACAATATGGGCAAGTTCATCCAAACACCAACTTGAAGAAGTGTAGTCTTCGAAAAGAACGACGAATGCAAACTTGGAGTGTTCATTTCCTTTCAGGAGTTTTGGTGCGATGGGTTTTCCCCTCTCAAGCTTCTCTTCATCCCTGAATGTATCGATTCCTTTTAGCTTAAAATTGTGATATAAATGGTTCGTAAAACTATTGCGGGTGTCTTCGTGCCTAAAACTTAGGAAGACATCAAAGTTCAATGTTTTAGGGTTTGAAGATGAAGAAGATGAAGGCATTGCTTGGGGAGCTTCCTCATGCTCCAATTCAAGGGTTCAAGAAGACGGAAACTCAACACGTCCAAGGAGAAAATTAACAAGGTGAAGAAGAAAAAAAAGGAAGGAGGAGGAGGAGGATTATGAACTTGGATCTGTGGGCTTGGTTATATCTTTTTCACACGAACTTAATCCTCTCTATTGAAGAAGCAAGCAATATCCAGAAATATTTTCTTCATTGTGCGCTTTAATGCGTCAAAACTTATTTCAAGCACATTCATAATGTCTTTTTAAGCAACTTCATCAAGTCTATGAAATGCTTCTCACCGTTATGTTACGTTTTTCTCCCTCAAATATGAACCCATAACTACAAGAACTAAAGGAACATCACCATCATATTCTCAATGTTGTTATATTAGAGTTTATTCGCAATATTGTTATATCATGATTAAAGCAAAAACAAACTTCATTCATGTACTTGAAAGTATTGTTCAATACATTCACCAAACAAAAGCAATAATTACATAATCTCTCATGTGAAGTACCTAAACTAATAGAGTTCAAAATTGCATAGTAGTGAATAATGTATCATATGGATATTTTGGCCCGATCTTGGGCCCGGACCCAAGCAGGCACGAGCACGATCCATTTTATTGTGCTGCGTAATCATCTAACCAAGCAGGGCATATGTTATTAAAAAAGTTAAATATAATACTACCTTGTAATTTCAATTGAAGAAGAAGAGTACTAGAAATACCTATTTTTCAAATCCCATCTGGCAACTTTGGCTACTTTCCTCAGAGCTCTCCTCTACTTTTTCACCTTCCATTTTTCCTTCTTAAAATTTTCTTCATGCTTAGCAAATGCCTTTCCATAATTTCCTGTTTGCTTTCTTACCTCGGATGCCTCAATGTGGTAGAAGACCGGAAACACCTCTAGTCTCGCCTCTTTCATGCACTGAACAATATGGGCAAGTTCATCCAAGCACCAGGTTGAAGAAGCATAGTCTTCGAAAAGAACAACGACTGCAAACTTGGAGTGTTCAACTGCTTTCAAGAGTTTTGGTGCTTTGGGTTTTCTTCTCTCAAGCTTCTCTTCATCACTAAACGTGTCGATTCCTTTCAACTTCAAACCGTGATATAAATGGTCCCTAAAGCTATTACAGGTGTCTTCGCCCCTAAACCTGAGGAAGACATCAAAGTCCAATGTTTCAGGGGTTGAAGATGAAGAAGATGAAGTCATTGCTTTGGGTGCTTCCTCATGCTCCAATTTGAAAGATTTGATGATTGAATGATGTTTTGCTTGATTGATTCATCTCCATATAGGAGGTATTTATACAAGATAGATAATAATAAACTAAGAGACAATACAAAGTGGTACATGATGGATACAAAGATTAATAACATAAAGCTAAGATAGTGGTGGATAATGAGTTGGTGGATTGGTGGATAACATGTTCTTTAATACACCCCCGCAAATCGAGCGCGCGTAGCAGAGCAAGATTTGGATGAAGAAGCTGTAAGCGCTGTGTAGTCCGTAGACATCAAGGTGATGAAGATGCAACAATAATTGTGGTAGTAGTCCAGAAGGCACGTCCAAAAATGAAGAACCCATAGTTCACAAGAGAAATAAAACACAAACATACAAAACACTAGTAATGCTCATCGAAAAGGAGAGTGCAAAACATGTGCACACACAACAGAAAAGACACAAAGAGGTGGGAATGTCAAAAACATAAAAAGAGGGAAGCAACCCGTGAGGAGCACGTGGGAGAGCATAAATGTTTGATAAAGCAAAGGGAAGTTCAGAGAAAGAAAAAGTGAGGGTGCACGTGAGAGAGTTGTGGGCAGTCAGAAGAAGTGGTGTGAGGTGAGAGAAAACAATTTTAAAAATATAAAGAGAAATGCAACCCATTTATCAAGTGGGAAAAGGCCATGAGAGAGAGACGTGCACAAAGAGAGAGAAAAGCAATTTGAAGAGACAGTACAAAAGAAATAAAAGAAGAATAGAATAAAGGATGAGAGAAGAGTATGATAAAGGAGGAGAGAAGAAAAACCATGTGGGAAAAGAGAAGTTAAAAACAAATTAAAAAATAAAAATAAAAAGGAATCATTTTGAAAGAAAAGATGGGAGAGGGAAGGACCCAATGGGCCAGAAGGTTGTATGCATGTGTGGAGAGAGAGAAGAGGGAATGAAAGAGGAGGTATGGGGAACAAGAGACAAAATTAAAATAAACTAAAGAGGAGGAAAAGGAAAGGAAGTTAAGGTGGGTGTCAGGCAGAGAGAGAGGGGGAGTAGGAAGACACAGATCACGTGGAAAAACAGTAAAGGGGAGACATACGGAAACCAAGTGAAAGAAAGTTAACAAAAAGAAAGCAAGGGAGAGAGATATTTGAAGAAGGAGCTCAGCTCAAGGGAGCACAAAAATAAACAGAGAAATAGTGAGAGAGCGCAGCAAGAGAAACAGAATGGGTACTCAAGACACAGAAAAGGAGGTGCTGCGCGATCTCAGCAGAGAGAAGTGGCCTATCAACGATGAGAGGCAGAGACCGGAGAGCCAAAAGATAGATAGATTGCGGCAGGACAAAGCGGCATGAGGGATATGGGCAAGACAAGGAGCCAGTACAGTGCCGGCAACACACAGAGAGCAAGTGGCTATGGAAAGAGAGTAACAACACTAGTTAAGGGAGGCAGTGGAGCACGGCAGGACAGGTACAAAGGCCGGCTAGGACAAGACAAGACAAGGCTCGGTTAGCGATGACGAGGCTCACGGAGGAGACTGAGATCGGGCCATCATGGCCAATAGAGATAAATGGAGCTGTCGTGGGTTGCCACGGGAGAGCTCGATGGAGGAGGGCTCAGTGAGCAGTGACAAGGGTCACGTGCATGGTTGCTAAGGAACATGGATGAGCAGCCGCAGGTTTCCACGGGAGTGCTCGATGGAGGAAATGCTTCGGTGAATGATGAAGTAGTCACAAGCGCAGAACAGAAAAGTAACATAAAAGGAAGGGGCTCAATCTGACAGCAACAGAGAGCATGACAAGAGGGAGAAGGCTCAATCTTCAACAGAGAGCATGACAAAGGGGAGAAGGCTCAATCTTCAACAGAGAGCATAAGAAGGAGAAATTGCTCAGAGAGCATGACAAGGGGGGGAAGGCTCAATCTTCAACAGAGAGCATAAGAATGAGAAATTGCTCAATCTTCAACAGAGAGCTAGACACAGAGAGGGAAGGATAAAAAGCTCAATCAATGAGCAGAGAGCTTGACATGAAAGATTTGATAGAAAATGGTGGATGATAAAAGGAAATGGCAGCGGTAGGAACTGGTTGAGAAAAAAATATATTGATTTTATAGAAGGGAGGTGAAGCTGGAGAACTATACAGAAGCAAACACCCTTTCGGGTGAGGAGAGCCAACGACTCTCAATATTGGCAAATGAAGGATCGCTAATTGGCGCTAGCCATTAGCTCTGATACCATGAAAGATTTGATGATTGAATGATGTTTTGCTTGATTGATTCATCTCCATATAGGAGGTATTTATACAAGATAGATAATAATAAACTAAGAGACAATACAAAGTGGTACATGATGGATACAAAGATAAACAACATAAAGCTAAGATAGTGGTATAAAGCTAAGATAGTGGTGGATAATGAGTTGGTGGATTGGTGGATAACATGTTCTCTAATAGATTTAATTCTCAAGTAACACGTATTTAGCAGAATTCGGATCCTCAGCCACTTACTTGAAGACTTGTAGCGCAAGGCATAAAAACTTACCCGGAAAACATCAGAGAATGTTGTCTTGCCTGCTGCAACCAGTCGGGCTCCAGCATAAAAACTGCAGGCATACACAGAAAAAAGAAAAAAGAACGAGAGCCCAAAACCTATCCCGCTGATTAACCCTCGTCTTATCCCTGTCTTAATAGGGCCTTCACATTTCTTCTGGTACAATTCAGTCACCTTCTCTTCAGCACAAAAGGAAGCAACTGTTCGAATACTCCCCACTGCATCATTGGCTACTTGACTTGCGTCCTCGTACATTTTCTGCAACAATTTAAAATTTTCAGCATTGACAAAATGGATTGGTCTTATATATATTATGTATGTCGTACTGGATTGTGTTTTGACTGCACCAGCTACAAGTTCTATACTTTAAACTTTTGTAAAGTTTGGACTTTGGAGAAATACCTTTGAGGGCTCAATCTTCAACAGAGAGCATAAGAAGGAAGAAAGGGCTCAATCTTCAACAGAGAGCTAGATACAGAGAGTGAAGGATAAAGGCTCAATCAATGAGCAGAGAGCTTGACAGAAAATGGTGGAAGATAAAAGGAAATGGCAGCGGTAGGGACTGGTTGAGAGAAGAAAAAAAAAATATTCATTTTATAGAAGGGAGGAGAAGTTGGAGAACTATACAGAAGCAAACACCCTTTCGGGTGAGGAGAGCCAACGACTCTCAATATTGGCAAATGAAGGATCGCTAATTGGCGCTAGCCATTAGCTCTGATACCATGAAAGATTTGATGATTGAATGATGTTTTGCTTGATTGATTCATCTCCATATAGGAGGTATTTATACAAGATAGATAATAATAAACTAAGAGACAATACAAAGTGGTACATGATGGATACAAAGATTAACAACATAAAGCTAAGATAGTGATGGATAATGAGTTGGTGGATTGGTGGATAACATGTTCTCTAATACAATTTAGGGGTTGAAGAAGACGGAAACTCAGCACGTCCTAGGAGAAAATTAACAAGTTGAAGAAGAAAACAAGGAAGGAGGAGGAAGAGGAGGATTATGAACATGAATATGTGGGCTTGGTTATATCTTTTTTACACGAACTTAATCCTCTCTGTTGAAGAAGCAAGCAATATCCAGAAATATTTTCTTTCAAAACTTATTTCAAGCACATTCATCATGTCTTTTTTAGCATCTTCATCAAGTCTATGTAATGCTTCTCACCATTATGTTACGTTTTTCTCCCTCAAATATGAACCCATAACTACAAGAACTGAAGTAACGTCACCATCATATTCTCATTGTTGTTATATCAGACTTTATTCTCAATGTTGTTATATCATGATTAAAGCAAAAACAAATTTCATTCATGTAATTTAAAGTATTGTTCAATACATTCACCAAACAAAAGTAATAATTACAAAATCTCTCAAGTGAAGTACCTAAACTAATAGAGTTCAAAATTGCATAGTAGTGAATAAGGTATCATATGGATATTTTAGCCCAATCTTGGGCCCGAGCCCAAGCACGACCCATTTCATTATGGGCTTGGTTATATCTTTTTTACACGAACTTGATCCTCTCTATTGAAGAAGCAAGCAATATCCAGAAATATTTTCTTCATTGTGTGCTTTAATGCATCAAAACGTTTTTCAAGCACATTCATAATGTATTTTTCAGGATCTTTATCAAGTCTATGAAATGCTTCTCACCATTCTGTTATGTTTTTCTCCCTCAAATATGAACCATAACTACAAGAGCTAAAGGAACGTCACCATCATATTCTCAATGTTGTTATATAAGAGTTTATTCTCAATGTTGTTATATCGTGATTAAAGCAAAAACAAACTTCATTCATATACTTGAAAGTATTGTTCAATACATTCACCAAACAAAAGCAATAATTATAGAATCTCTCAAGTGAAGTACCTAAACTAATAGAGTTCAAAATTGCATAGTAATGAATAAGGTATCATATGGATATTTTGGCTCGATCTTGGCCCCGGGCCCAAGCATGGAACGAGCACGACCCATTTCATTTTGGGCTTGGTTATATCTTTTTACACGAACTTGGTCCTCTCTATTGAATAAGCAAGCAATATCCAGAGAGATTTTCTTCATTGTGTGCTTTTATGAACGTCACCATCATATTCTAAATTTTTTTTGGATACCTCTTTATGATGTGGAGCATCGTTTTCCTTGAATGCATTTCAACAGAAGAGTTGATAATTTTCACCAACCTTCAACTTGTCAACCTTGTATATATTATCTGCAAGTAGTCCACACGTCTCCAATTCATGCTTCTCTCTAGATTTTATAATCGCTCAACTCCTTGGACCCAACTAGGGCTGATATGCTAAAGCCTTTATTTGATCTACTTTATCCAAATCATCCAGAATGATAAGTACCTTCTTATTCCTTAGTCTATCACGTAATAATTGATCCCCAAATATTTATTACAAATATCTTCATTGCAATACATCAAGGTTGCAAAGAGAGATTTTTGCAAGCAAACTATACCATTTGCTTTTGTGGATTCCCTTCTAATAGAGAAAACAAAGCAAATAAAATCAAACTGGTTCTTGATTAAAACTTCTGCTACTTGATCTACAGTTTGGTGGTATCATATGGATGGTTTGGCCCGGTCTCGGTCTTGGGCCCTAGCCCGAGCATGGCATGAGCACGACCTATTTCATTGCGGACTTTCTAATATCATTTTTACGTGAACTTGATCCTTTCTATTAAGCAAGCATGCAGTGTCTAGAAAAACTTTCTTCATTGTTCCCTTTAATGTGTTAAAACTTATTTAAAGCACATTCATAATGTCTTTTTTTAGGATCTTCATCAAGTCTTTCAAATGCTTATGACCATTCTGTTACATTTTTTTTCCCGTATGAATCCAAAATTACAAGAGCTAAATGAACACCACCATCATATTTTACAAAAATTTTGGACACCTCTTTATAATCATGTGGAGCATCGTTTTCCTTCAAGGCATTTTAACAGAAGAGTTGAGAATCTTCACCAACCTTCAACTTGTCAATCTCGTATATATTATCTGCAAGTAGTCCACCCGTCTCCAACTCATGCTTATCTCTAATTGCCATAATCACTCTATGTGGACCTAACTAGGACTCATCTGCTAAAGTTTTTATTTGTACTACTTTATCCATATCGTCCATAATGATAAGCACATTTTTATTTCTTTGTCTATCACGTAATAATTGGATCCTCAAATGTTTATTTGGATACCTTTATCGCAGTATAAGAAGGCTGAAGAGATATTTCTGTCCAATTTTTTGACAGAGTAAGCAAGTGTTCTTGATATAATAGACAAAATTGAAAGAAATTTGTTGGAATTTGTAACGTGTCCTTGAAAAATCGCAGAAACCAAAACTCACTTTTTACCCTTGAAAAATCACGATGATGTGAGGTGGAGCATATTCTTGCGTTTGCTACTCTGGTTCCCACAGTATGTTAAACTTCGTAATCCCGGCCAAGTGTCAACTTCAACCACCTCTCAAATAATGAAGAAAACTCCAAAACCTCAACTACTTAACTTCTTCCACACGAACTCTTACAATTCTCACCTGTTGCTCTCACAGTCTCACTGGTTCATCACGACACCAACCAAATACCGAAGATGGATTAATTTTCTCAAAAAACCCAAGTTAAGGATTTCTCATCATATCCACTTCTCTTGTTTTTTGAGTTTCCCATGGCCAGTGTTGAAGTTCGACTTGTTTTTTCATTTGGGTTGTCGGGTTTTTTGTGAAAAATTCTTGTTTTTCACTCCAAGTATCGAAAGGACCATGCTCTTTGCAATTCTCTAGTTCCATGGTGCATGCTGTATGTAGTAGCTTAATCTAACTGTTTTCTGAGATGGGTTCCTTCACAAAGTTCATGGCATCTGCTGTTTTCTTCATAGTTTTATCATTTTTTCTTGTTCCTACAAGAACCCAAGAAGAAGGATTCATATCTGTTGTCATATCCAGCAAGGGTCTTGAGTTTTCCAAGGACTTGCTAATAGAGCAGGCTGTTTCCTCTATAATCCCCCTTCAACTGCCTCAGATTGAAAAGTCTGTGAAAATCCCACTTGTTGGCCAAGTTCATGTTGTTCTGTCCAATATCACAATCTATAATGTTGATGTTGCTTCTTCATATGTGGAGACTGGTGACTCAGGTATTGCTTTAATTGCTTCAGGAGCCACCGCAAATTTGAGTATGGATTGGTGCTATTCTTATAGCACTTGGTTATTTGATATTTCAGATCATGGGGACGCCTCCATTCAGGTATACAGAGCAACTTAGAAAGGCTATTCTTTGTTCTTTATAAACTTTTTTGTTCCCTTTTATTTTGCTTTGATCTTGCTTTAATGGCATTTGAATTATGCAGTAGATGAAGCTGTTTTTTTCCTTTTTTTTTTCTGGGTTGTCATTGTTTGTCATAAAATGGTATTTCACTTCTAATTAGACTTGACATAGATTTAATGCAACCAATAGGCCTCTGATAAGTTGACAACCCCTTGGCTAGCCATTTTCTGCATTTTCTTTACCTCTTGAGGACGGTGAGAAGTGACCAACTTGGAGTGCCATGAGCTGTCTTGTTTCCAAATATCAAGATCTGTGTCAAATGAATTTAAGTCTATGAGTTAGAATCCTTAGGAAGTCTCATGTTGGTTTCTTTTGATGAGTTCTAATCGATACGTCCCATAATTTCATATCATAAGTCAATTTTAACAGATTTGTTAAGTAGAATAGAAAATGAAATTATGATGCAGTAAAACAAAAGTGCAGTTATAGTGAACTTTCTGTGGTCAAATGCTGTAATGAGCTGCAGTATGTTATGTGCGTTCCAAAATCATTGAGTCATGAGAAATTTCCATTGAGCTTGAATTGTTGAAAGGAAAGAGGTAGAGGATTGGAATCAATTAAACTAAGATACAATGTTCTTAGCAAACTTAATCTTCTTTCTCCCCAATTTGTTTGATTTTACCTTTTTAAAAAGTGGTGTTGCTTCTGAGAAAGGTTGAAGGTATGGAAGTGGGTGTTACCTTAGCTTTGAATGGCCAAGAAGGAACTCTTAAGCTGTCTGTTTTGGAATGCGGCGGCTATGTGAAAGATATCTCTATTAAGTTAGATGGTGGAGCATCTTGGCTTTACCAAGGGTATGCAATCCTCTTAATCAACTTTGCTATGAGAAAGACTTATGTGCCTCTTTGTTTCTGTCAAAGGCCGTTCCATACCCCCTCCCCTGTTCCCAATTTTTGTAGTTGGATCTGCATCTATATCAACCAAGGCCACTTAAGGTCCACCCAAATGTTTAAAATCTTTTTTCTGACCCCAAATATTGCAGTTGATCCTCTGACATTCTCTTTCAGGTTAGTGGATGCTTTTGAAGGTCAAATAGTTTCTGCAGTTGAAGACAATATTTCCAAGAAAATCAGAGAAGGAATAATGAAGCTTGACTCCTTACTGCAATCACTTCCGAAACAAATCGCACTGGATGACATTGCTGCTTTGAATGTTACATTTGTGGGCAATCCTGTATTGAGTAATTCTTCCATTGAATTTCAGATCAATGGTCTATTCATGGCTCCGAATGATGATTTTGCTTCCGGCCTGTACAATAAAGGTTCACTAGATCATGTTCCCTTCAATGCTCCAGCTAAGATGGTTGAGATATCATTACATGAAAATGTCTTTAGCTCAGTGTCCTTAGTTTTCTTCAAATTCTTTTCTTTTTTTTTTTTTTCCAGATAATACTAAACAATAATCATTCATTTATTCCTTTTTTGAAATTCGCTTAATTCTTCTTCCAATAATGTTATCTATAGTTATCAAACTTCTGTGTACCGAAATCTTACTTCACCATTTCACAACGAACTGACCTGCGCCTGGCCGGATTTGTACCCTTGTAGCTTTATATTTTAGAATTCAAGTACATAGTTAAACTAAGACATTATTTTTCCCCTTGTATTCGTTTAGGCAAATTATATGCAATGGGTGATCAACAAAACACCAGATCAGTCCCTTTTGAACACTGCTGGATGGAAATACATTGTTCCTCAACTGTACAAGCAGTATCCCAATGAAGATATGGAGCTTAATATATCTGTATCTTCTCCACCAATAATGACAGTTGTTAACAATGGCATTAATATCACTGTTTACTCTGATGTGACAATTGGTGTCATGGATGCTGATGAAGTAATACCAGTTGCGTGCATATCATTGGTATGCTTCCTTGGAGTGTTTGTATCCTCCCATTAGTTTCATGCACATTTATATCGCCTTGTTCATTTTGATTTGCCATATGTTTTTTGTTGGTGCAGGAGATTCATGCTTCATGTTCTCCAGATGTCTTGATAAATAAACTAGCTGGTACTGTTAAATTGAATCATGTTACTGCATATTTGAAGTGGAGCAAAATTGGTAACCTTCACATGCATCTTGTTCAGGTACATTCCTTTGTTTCATGAAATTATTGAAATTATTGTTTTAAGCTCCGAATGCACTTTACAGAGCTTTTTTCTTCTTCCTTTTTTTTTTCTTTTTCTGTGTGACGTCACATAGCATTGTTAATATAGTTTTGTTAACAGAGCCAGCCTGTCAATCATAGTTGAATATAAAAGCATTTCCTATTATATCAAGTAGTGTAGAGACATAGTACAAGCTGCAGGTGAATTTTTGGGCATCTTGGTCTTTAATTACTTGTTAATGAGCCCCAACTTTGAGTGCTCATGAACCCCTATCAACTTTTGGGGCAAAAGAGATTTGATATGTTATGCAGAATGTTTATAATTTTCTTTTCTGTGACAAATTTATAAGTTGAATTCTAGTACATAGTCTACAGACTAGAGCCTAGACAACAGTTACTTTAAAATGCATTTTTTATGTCAAATTTGTCCCGTGTATGACAATGTATCTTATGGAAAATTTAATTTATCTTCTCCTGTACATTCTCCTCTTATTATAGAGCCATTGCTCCATTTGATATCAATACGTGAAAGATTTTTAAACTGCAGGCCGTATTGTCAACAATTCTCAAAACTGTTGTGGTGCCATATGTGAATTTACACCTCTGGAAGGGACTACCATTACCACTTCCTCATGGGTTTACACTACATAATTCTGAAATCGTCTCCATCAATTCAAGGCTTACGATATTCAGCGATGTTGCGATTGCAGAACGATCACCGACATCAGTAAGCAGACCTTTAATTTCAATAAGATAGTATGTAAACTTTGTATACTAGTAGGTGTTTGTTTTTCTTTGTACATCATTTTAGAATAGTGAACCCAATGCAAAGTCAAAAGATTAGTTTAAAACGTTTGTTGTAATGAAGTTTTGTTATGATTCTGTTGTAAAACTATGCTGCATAAGTTGTTTGTTACAAATGTTTTTGACTCTTGACTAGCTAAAGGCTCAAAGCTTAGGCCGAGTTTCTCCTACCGGTTTTAACTTATCAGCTACTGGTTTACATGATAGAGCCTTCTCATACCCCATTGGTGCATGGACGTCCTCAGTCTTTGACAAAAGTACAAGATATTGAAGAAACAATTTGTTTTTTGGGAATCTGATGTTTTTATTCGAAACCATAAAGTGGGTCAAGTGTGATTACAAATTTTCTAAGAGTTTCTTATGTACTTAATAAGCTTGAAATAGTTAGGTGACATGATTTAACGAGTTTGACCAGTGTTCATTCTCGAAACATGATAACGACACATTATCTTTGTGAAATATGTTTTTATCTTTTTTGAAAAACCTTTTATTTTATTTTATTGTAAAGTCTTTTTTAAACCATTGGAACTTATAACTTATTGTTTATGTATGTTTTTTTGGTGAAATATGATTGGACTTATGTTATGTAATGTGTTTAGCATAAGTTTTTATGGTAATATTTGTGTATTTAATTATTTCACATTTTGGTGTTTGATTGACCAAAAATAAAGAGAAACACATAAATGGGTGAAACATGACACGACACGCAAAATTTGTGAATGAGTTTGAGTTCATATATTTGGGCATGATAAGTCAATGAGTTGAGTTTGAGTTTGAGCATAATCTTACATGACACGAGAAAATGATACAACTCGAATATATTAAATGAGTTGAGTTTGAGTTTGAGCATAATCTTACATGACACGAGAAAATGATACATCTCGAATATGTTAAAAAACGACACTTGCTGCATTATGTGTTCTTCTCCATAGATGTGTTGAATCTTACAGGCAAACTTAATTACTTCTCAAAATGTATATATTGACACCTAGAGATGAGGTTAAGCATAGGATGGTCATGATCGCACAGCACATTTGGATCCACAATGATAGGAAACCACCCAGATTTACAAGCCAAGACCACTTATGCTTGTAAAACCCGATGACCAATTCTCATCCAATCTAGCTCCATTATTGTCTCTCATAACCCCCCCTCCCTTTCTGCAACCATCAAGCTCCTGAGCCAAATAACTTTTCCTTTTTTTGGTTTTTCTCTGTTTTGATCCATATACACAAACAATGTTGCAGGCTAAGCTGATACATATATAAGCTTTTCTAATTAGTTTTTGTAAGTATAAATAGTAAAGAAATCGAGCCAAGAAGATGGAACACCATGGCCAGTTGACGGGAAACCCTAATGGCCTTCAATCCGAGATCATAATTAAGATTTTTGCAAGGCTACCGGTTAAGTCCGTATGCCGCTTCAAGTGCGTGTCGAAGCCATGGCGTTCTCTCCTCTCCCACCCTAGTTTTGTTAAAGTGCACTTCAACAAAGCCATTGAGAATGAAGATGTATTGCACCAAAGACGAACAGTCATACTTACAGCTTACGAAGACAAATCCCTTTACTCTTTGCACCTCGATGAGTTTCTCAATCGTAATGATGCATATCTAAACAATGATCATGTTGATAATGTTGGTGAGGATGATCTTGTGGCAGCCACTGAGCTGGCCTTTGTTCATAGCATGCACAGAGAAACTTTGGTTTACTTGATTTGCCACTGCAATGGCCTGTTGCTATGCCAGTTAGACAGATGGGATTTATATCTGGTTAACCCTGCAACCAGAGAATCCAAGATACTGCCAAGGACACCGAAACCCTACCGCTATTCGAGCTTATGCGGGTTTGGATTTGATCACTCCACCGATGAACACAAGGTGGTTTGTGGGCGGATCAATAGAGATCATGGGATTGAGTTTTGTGTCTACACATTAGAAACCAATTATTGGCGAGTGATTCGCCAAGACTTCAATTGTGTCTCATGCGATACTAGGCTTGGGATCCATGTGAATGGCGATCTCCATTGGCTGATGAATAAAGATGATCATGATGAAATTCATGAGCTTCCCTCCACGATTATGTCCCTCCTTTTGGACAAGGAGGAGGTTAGAGAAATTCCACTGCCGCATGAGCATGCCATTGATGAAGATATTCATATGGTAGAGCTAGGGGTTTTCAGAGAATGGTTATGCGTAATACATTATGGTTGTGATGATAATGGCCAAACATCCTATGATTTTTGGGTCATGAAGGAGCATGGAGTGAAGGAGTCTTGGACTAAAATGAGGGTCTCCATCCCATTGCACGACATATCACATTCTGGTTTCTGCACCAAATCTCATGACTTGATGGTGTTTGATGACAGGTTGGTTATGTACAGTTTTGATGAAGAAAGCTCTCGGGATCTGTCAATTCGCGGAGTTGAAAACATTGGTAGTTGTCTCACGGTTTACTTGGATAGCCTCGTTTCTCTTAGAAATCGACCTAAGACGAGCTCAAAGAAGACTTCGGTTAGTCTTGTCCACTGTTAACAAAACCATGGCCTGGGCTGCAAGTTTCATATGCATTATTAATAATCATCATCTTAATTTTTGTTTAGTCTCATTCATGATATTTTACATAAGTATATATTAGTCCTTACTGTTTTATAATTTTAGCTAATCTATATTGGGTTTTGTCATTTAGGTCAAATGGCAACGGAGAGCCAGAAAAATGTGAGCAAGCTGAAACAAATGAGGTTGAGGGAGAGAAATCTTCTTCACGCGGGCATGTATCTGTCACCAATTGTTACAATCACCACTTTCATAATTTAGTGAATTAATTTCACTATTCGATTCCTAGCATGGTGGATTTTGTTTTCAATCATTGTTTGTATATAAACCCTAGAGTTTATATGTTTGTTAAAGGTTTAGTCTCTTTTGTTTAATATTTTATATACACAAATGTAAGTATGAACAACCAATTTTTTTTGTTTTTTGTGCGGAGTTATGCTTATATAGGCTCTTTCTTTCTCCAAAATATGTGATCCAATTGTATACGCTTCTGAATTTTTTTGGTATAGAAGAAAGCTTTTGAAGTGCTATGCAAATTTTTGGCATTTTTTATAAATAAAAAAAATATATAGATAAATGGGTTTTTGATAAATTATCAATGAAAATCTATGTTAATGTGAGTTACCAATGGGGTGTTAGTTGGATTTGCCCAGATTTTTCGTGTGCTCCCAAGTGGTCGTGGGTTCAATTTCCCATGAAACCCGAGTGTGAGTTTTCCCCCTTCTCTTTCTAACTTTGGCATAAATAAAAAGAAGATTAACACAAGTTTTGTTTTTTGTTATAAAAAAACAAAAATGATGCGTTATGTCTTAAGTGGCTGACTATTAGTTGACTATTAAAGGCTAGGAATTCACTGCAAATGGATATATTCGTATTATGTACTAGTTGATACCATGAACATACCTAATCTGATTTTATAGGTAAAGTTGTGATAATTTTGCTTCAAAATAATTGCTAATGCACTTTGTGGTACTTTAGTCATCCCCGAACAATGAAAAGAAATTTAGAACAAGCATAGTGTGTGTGATTAATAGAAAAAACCTTTTGCACTTGCAAAAGCAAACTATTTTTCTTGACAAATACAATTACAAAAGACACCAAATTTTTTTAAGACGAGCTTAGCATGCGTAATTAAAAAAATTCGTATGACACATACCTATGAAGAGAGACTAGTGTTTTTGTAAGAGAAGTGCATGAGTACATGGCGACTTTTGTTTTTTACGTGCAAATAACATCCTATATTATATCAACAGTAATTTGTGAATTTATTACTAAAATTGTTCAAAGTTGATTAGATTTTTTTTAATCAATAAGGTTGATGATGAGGAAATTTCTTTACGAACGTGGGGATATTTTTTATTTTTATTTTTAGTTAATCCAATGCCATACATAATTATTGTTTTACCCTCATCTCATTAGTTTTAGTTATTTTCTTTTAAAATTTTAATGTGAGTAGGGGTATAATTGGAAGTTTATTAAAATTGGTTGACAATCTATAAAAATATTAGTATAGATGGTATGGATTTAGCTTTGAATCTTGATTAGATTGGACGGTCCAAAGCCGTTTCTAATTGTAACCGGTTCCAAATAAGCGAACCGGTTTTATATATCCAAACCGGAGCATCTAAAAGGACCAAATCCAAAGACGAAAAAGCCCTCGTTCTTATTGTCTCTCTCTAAATTTCGCTCTGCTCTCGACCACCCCCATTGAATTTGAACCCATTCCCCTATTTCCTTCTCTCTCTCTCCTCTTTCTCTCTCTCTGACTCGCTCACAAAATCACAAACTCACCATATTATCAATTTTAATCACTTACACAAAACCCACTCTCCTCTCCCTCAAATTTACCCGCCAAAAAGCTTTATTCTCCCACACAAAGTTTTCATCTTTTCAAATCCCCAAACCCCAACGGCTAAACCTCTCCATCACTCCCTTTCTCTCTCTCTAGGGTTTCTCTCTCGCGCCCTCTCTCTGTCTCCTCTACCCCCAAAACGGCGTCGTTCATAGGCTTCGCTCGCTCGCCCCTTCAATCATGGATCCGACCTTGAACGCCGGAGCTACCGAGCCGCCAGCGGTTTCAGTCGCGGAAAAGAGGCCGATTCAGAATGGAGCTGAAGGAGAATTGGGGACCCAATTCAACAAGAAGCCCAGATTGGGACCCAATTCGGAGAAGGACCTCAGGAGAGTGGCGGAGATTGTGTTGGCCTTGTCGACAATGGCCAAGATTCGAGGAGGGAAGAAGCCCACGGAGCCCGAGATTGGACTTATGGGGGAAGCTAGGTCGAAGCTGGTGGAGTTATGTGAAGGCTTGGCGCCTAAGGATATTGTGGCTAGGGATGCAATTGGAGCTGTCATTGAGGATTTGGGGCTTAATGGCAAGCTTAAGGAACAGAGATTAGGGTTTCGGGGTACCAAGTTGACCATCGCTGAGAAGTTTTCGCTGACAAAGAAGAAGGTAAAGAGTCATTTTTTTTTATTGGATATGGTTCTTGGAGATTGTTGGGTAGGGTTTAGTTTGTTTCCTGGCTAGGTGTTGTTCTGTTAGCTTTTAATTGGTATGCCTCCTTGTGTGATTG